ACTAAATTTAATGCGTTTTGTTATTTTCAACGCAAAATATTTAGTTGTTATAGTTTATCAGAAAAAAATCGCCTAATTTTTCTGAAATAAATGATCGTAATTTTGGTAGTTTTAGATGTTTTTAGTGGTTTTTGTATTTGGGCAATCGTATATCCCAATCAGATATTTGATGAAAGGAAAATATATAATTTTTCGTTCCGGTCACTGAAATTGTGGAGGTAAGTTGTCTTCAGGTGTGTTTTAGTTTTCTAGTTTTCCTAAGCAAAATCAGGAACCACCTTCATCAGAAGAGAAGAGTTATATATATATATCATTAAAGATAAAGCATTTCAAGATTCGAATGAATGTTTTTTGCAAAAATTGTTCTCACTGTCGAGGAAAACTGTTTTGTAGTTTTTATTTTTTATTTTCAGAAGAGTAAAGTCAGCGAGTAAGTGTTCAAAACAGGATAAACTTAATTGAGCCGTGAAATTTTGATATAACTCCAGAAAATCCGTTTTTCGAAGCTTCATCTAGCGCTTTTTTGGCAATAAAAAACTTATCAAAAACTTAATTTCAATCTACCGGTTTTTTGTTTCATTTTTTTTGCTTTTCACTTATTAAAAAGACATCTATAGTTGATTCTGCTATTGACTTTTAATTTTATGCCTTTACTATTTGGTTCTTTTCATACCAGTATTCACAAAAACACAAAATGAAAAAAAAAATGTGCTAAGTCTACTTTATGAATTTTGGGAACTTTCTGTGCTAATTTCACAGCAACAGGTTACTCTTGTTGATATCTTGTATTTGCTGTAATTTTGTTACATGACAGTTGTAAATGCTGACCCCGAAATTGAGGAATTTTGGTCTCGGTTAAAATTATTTTTCACGCAAAATCAGGCGACACAAATCAACGTACGTCAGATGCAGCCGATGTTTGCCAGCAACATCCTATTAGTTGTTGTTGGTGGTGCAAATAAAAGTAGAGATAAGTTTTTAATTATCGAGAAAGTCCCATAGGAAATTATCGGGTGCTTGAAGTTCAAATATTTATTTTTTAATTAATGAGGCTGAAAGTAATTACCTAACTTATTCAAACCTGTTAGTCCCACCCGCGAAATTTGATGGTACACAGTTAGTAGAAGCAATAACAGTAAAGTGGGCAAGTTCAAGTTTGTTTCGGAAAACGAATAGGGATGCCAACGACTAGCAAATTTCAGAAATTTTTGGTGATAGGTTTGAACTTTTTTCATGGTTAATTTGGTTTTAAGGAATATTTTAAATTTTGATGCAGAGCTCGGACCTTTTGTCATTAACCTGTCTAGATAATGCCATCTATATGCTGTTTTGTGATCATTCAATTTTAGACATTTCTATTTTATTAAGTTTTTTTAAATGTTTTTGCACTTATTTTTCTCTTTCTTTGAACATACCTATTTTCGTACTTCATTCGATAAAACGGGAAATGCTTTGTAATCAAAATGGGTTCGTTAGTTGTCCCTCACTGTTGCTGGTGCTTTTAAATTATTGACAAACTTACCATTAACAATGAGAATCAAATTCTTCTTTAAGATTGGAGAAAACATTCACAACGAATGTTCCAAATCTTGAACTCTTAAACATTTTTCTTTCACAATTTTTTGAAAAAAATCTATCACATTTTAATGGTCCAAATAGAGGAAACTTCTGATAAACCCGATTTGACTCCTGATTTTTTCTTGGGTACCTTAAACTGATCGGAAAACCCACTCGTGTAACGAAAATTCTTGTTCCCAGGTTGTGAGATTGTGGGAGCGATAGATAAAAGCTCAGGTTTTGAAGCATCCACCTTTTCGCTGTTATTTTGATTTCAATGCTCTTGGTCCTGAGGTAAGGGTTCGAATCTACGGTTTTTCTTTTTGATGTTTTTGCAATGGTAATGGGATCATCAAGTTTTTTCAGGGCTAAATGGACGATATTCTGAAACTTCATTACAAAGCATTAGCTGCACTTCATGAAAAGAAAACTGAAGAAGCGCGTGAACTCTTTTTATCCCTGAGTGAACTATTCGAGAAAGCCAAAAAAGAAACCAGAAAACGGGCTGATTTCAACATTGTATGCCTTTCAACTTACAGATCTTTGGGCGAATTGCTACATTCAGCTGAAAATTACCAAGATAGCATTTTCTACATTTTAAAAGCTGTCGCAATTGATAGCAAAGACTTGACATTATGGTTCTCGCTGGCGAAAAGCGCATTCAAGAATTGCTCTTTTGAAATTGCTTTGAATTCTTACGAGGAAGTTTTAAAACTGAACCCGAATCATCTGTTAGCTTTAGATGCAGCGATACCGTTAGCAATAGCTCTTAGTGATTTTGTGTTCGCATTTAGATGTGCCGAAAAGCTGTTTAGCCGAAAAAACAATAGCTTGACAGCTATACAATGTTTTATATGGCTTCATGAAATGGAAGAAATTAAAAAGCCTCCGGATTTTATACCAGTTTTGCCAGACATTCCAATGGAAGCTTTTGAATCAAAAATCGACGAAATTAAGAAAAAGGCCTATAATCCGTTCGATCATTTGTGCGAACCGAAAAGTCCTGAATCAATGACAATTTCGCTCAACCGATTTGATCATTCAAACGAAAACGAATCTGAAACATCGAGTAATCTGTTTTCAGTTCTGAAAAACGTTCATGATTTTTTCACTGTAAACGCGCCGAAAAGATGCAATATTCGTCCGATAAAGTTAGAGGGCCATGAAAACTTCTCAAGTTTTTTGCCTGTTTTGACATTTGTGGGTACAAACACAGTCGATGATATTTTTCTCGACGAAGTTGCCTCAAAAAAAATCGAACAAGAAAGCTCGGCTGATCAAAAAATGGATACTTTGGAATTGAATTCAGAATCAAACGCTATGAAAAGCGAAATGGCCAGAAATTCAAGTCTTTATAGTGAAAAAAGTGCAACTTTTGATAGCAGTGACAATGAAAACTTAGCACAGAAGAAACTAAGTTTAATGGAGCAAAAAGAGCAAGGAACTTCAACTAGCAAAATAGAGGAAACTAGTAAAGATGCTCAGAAAGGTGTGAAAAAAAGATTGATGTTCTCGAGCGGCGATGAAATTACTGAAGGTGTAATGATGAAAGCCAATGAAAAGGTAAGACAATGATACATTTTGAAAGAAAAAGCTTTTTGTTTTTCTAAAATTTGAGAAAATCTTCTTAAACTTCAAAGCTAAAGAAAGATAATCTGTTGCTGTTACCACAATGAAAAGTTTTTGAAAAAGTGAAAAGCAGTTTCGTTTTTAAGTTTCATGTTTTTTTTCGTGATGTGATGAGAGGATTTTAACGAAAGCGTAGAATAGTTTCTTTTGAAAAATTTTTCAACTTGTATGCAGAAAAATTTCATGATTTTTTTTTAAAAAGGCACTGGGAAAATTTTAAAGCTTGCGATTAGGGCTAGCATTCCGTTTAAAAAGATGTCGGGTTATTGTTAATCTGCATATGTTCTATCGGCTTAGTTACCAAATATTAGAAATGCAGTATGCAGTTTTCCTTGTAATTGCTTTTTTAAGTTTTCAATTTTTCCTGCAATTTGTAATTCTACTAGCCTTGGTTGTTTTACTAACCTAGTTTTGGGTAGTTCTAGGGCACCATAATTTACTGGCTTTCCGCCGGGTCGCAGAAAACGTTAAAAACCTCCGAAGAGAGTTTATTAGTTTTCATGACAACAGTTTTACATAATTGTTTTTGAGTTTTCATTAAACGCTATCGAATGTGTTTCTGAGCGTGTTTTCCGCAAATAGAACATCATTCCAGACAACATTTTAAAGTTTTTTTAGTTTTGTTTTTTTTTCCAAAATTTTTCCGCGTTCATTGGACTTAGTGGCTATCCTTTCCTTACCTGTCTGCCAGCTTGCAATGCGTTTGTTGTGATATCGCGATTAATGCGAAGCTCCACTTCGCCTGTATGCCAACAAATGTTTGTACAGGAATAAAAGCAATTTAGCACGATTTCATTAAGTACCAATTGCTCTATTGTAAGCCTACTGTCGCGCTGTATTCGCGCGAAGTTCGACTAAAAGCAGATTTTTAAACCGGTTTTACTCAAAACTGCAAAAATATTTGGATCTTTAATGTCGTTAAACTCACGACTGGCAAATGTTTTAGTCTGATCTAACACTCGAACCATTTCGTTGATTTTTATGTTACCTGACTTTGCGTGAAATACTAAAACACATCCGAAGTCAAAGTTGGTCCGTACTTTCAGCGGCCGTAACAACTTGGAAAATTCCCTGAGTGCCAGAACAAAACTTATTTCATTAAAGTCAACACAATTTTCTAGCACTTTCTTTGAAAACCCAAAATTCTTGAAGGTTCAAGGTTGTTCCTCGATGTTTCATAATATCTTTGTTATATCTTCTATCCTTGTATTTGTGATTCTTTGTGTTCCGACCATGTTTTGTGGAGGAATTTATTATTTAGTTTTTTTCGTCATAAATTCAGTTACCAAAACGAAAAATCATGAAAGTTAGAATAGTGTGCCATATTGAAGCTTTTCTAGTTGTGATTTGAGCTGTAACTGAATGTTCCAAACAAAATATCCAAATGTCGAAAGGTTTGTATAAGTGTTAAATTCAGGCTTTTCCAGAATGCATTTTAGACATAGAGTTTGACTTTAATAATGCTAGAAGGTATTCATTGGGCAAATTTAAATTCTCATTTGAAGTAAAAAATGCTAGCAAGATTTATCTTTCAGGATGTTCCGAACAGTATTTTTATTGAAAACTTTCTTACAGGATAAGATTCGCACATTTTTTACCGCAATATGAGGCATTCTGAAAACGATCTTGGGCATGGGCGGATTTAGTGGGGGGAGGGGAGGTTGTAGGGCATCGTGCGTGGTAGCATATTGAAACCCCCTTGAGTCATATAACTCAGATTCCGACAAAAGGTGTGGTCCGCAGCTGTGGTATTATTCAGTCAAGTTTTTCACTAGGAGAAATGAAAAAAAGGGGAGACTAGTAAAGATGCTGAGAAAGGTGTGAAAAAAAGATTGATGTTCTTGAGCTGCGATGAAAGTACAGAAGGTGTAATGATGAAAGCCAATGAAAAGGTAAGACAATGATACATTTTGAAAGAAAAAGTTTTTTGTTTTTCTAAAATTTGAGAAAATCTTCTCAAACTTCAAAGCTAAAGAAAGATAACCTGTTGCTGTTACCACAATGAAAAGTTTTTGAAAAAGTTAAAAGCAGTTTCGTTTTTAAGTTTCATGTTTTTTTCGTGATGTGATGAGAGGATTTTAACGAAAGCGTAGAATAGTTTCTTTTGAAAAATTTTTCAACTTGTATGCAGAAAAAATTTCATGATTTTTTTTTAAAAAGGCACTGGGAAAATTTTAAAGCTTGCGATTAGGGCTAGCATTCCGTTTAAAAAGATGTCGGGTTATTGTTAATCTGCATATGTTCTATCGGCTTAGTTACCAAATATTAGAAATGCAGTATGCAGTTTTCCTTGTAATAGCTTTTTTAAGTTTTCAATTTTTCCTGCAATTTGTAATTCTACTAGCCTTGGTTGTATTACTAACCTAGTTTTGGGTAGTTCTAGGGCACCATAATTTACAGGCTTTCCGCCGGGTGGCAGAAAACGTTAAAAACCTCCGTAGAGAATATATATTAGTCAGTTTTTCATGACAACAGTTTTAAGTAATTGTTGTTGAGTTTTCATTGAACGCTATCGAATGTGTTTCTGGGCGTGTTTTCCGCAAATAGAACATCATTCCAGACAAGGTTTTTAAGTTTTTTTTTTTGTTTTTTTTTCGAAATTTTTTCCATGTTCATTGGACTTAGTGGCTATCCTTTTCTTACCTGTCTGCCAGCTTGCAATGCGTTTGTTGTGATATCGCGAGTAATGCGAAGCTCCATTTCGCCTCTATGCCAACAAATGTTTGTACAAGAATAAAACCAATTTAACACGGTTTCAATAACTACTAATTGCTCTATTGTAAGCTTGCTGTCGCGCTGTATTCGCTCGAAGTTCGACTAAAAGCAGATTTTTAAACCGGTTTTACTCAACACTGCAAAAATATTTGGATAATCTTTAAGTCGTTAAACTCACGACTGGCAAATGTTTTAATCTGATATATCACTCGAACCATTTCGATGATTTTTATGTTACCTGACTTTGCGTGAAAAACTAAAACACATCCGAAGTCAAAGTTGGTCCGTACTTTCAGCGGCCGTAACAACTTGGAAAATTCCCTGAGTGCCAGAACAAAACTTATTTCATTAAAGTCAACACAATTTTCTAGCACTTTCTTTGAAAACCCAAAAATCTTGAAGGTTCAAGGTTGTTCCTCGATGTTTCATAATATCTTTGTTATATCTTCTATTCTTGTATTTGTGATTCTTTGTGTTCCGACCATGTTTTGTGGAGGAATTTATTATTTAGTTTTTTTCGTCATAAATTCAGTTACCAAAACGAAAAATCATGAAAGTTAGAATAGTGTGCCATTTTGAAGCTTTTCTAGTTGTGATTTGAGCTGTAACCGAATGTTCCAAACAAAATATCCAAATGTCGAAAGGTTTGTATAAGTGTTAAATTCAGGCTTTTTCCAGAATGCATTTTAGACATAGAGTTTGACTTTAATAATGCTAGAAAGTATTCATTGGGCAAATTCAAATTCTCATTTGAAGTAAAAAATGCTAGCAAGAATTATCTTTCAGGATGTTCCGCACAGTATTTTTTATGAAAGTTTTCTTATAGGATAAGATTCGCACATTTTTTGCCGTAATTGGAGGCACCCTGAAAATGATCTTGGGCAAGTGCGGATTTAGTGGGGGGAGGGGATTTTTTTTCACGTCCGTGCTTGCTGTTTTCGTTATGATGACATTTTTTCTAGATGTAACGATTTTCTAGACTATGGCCAGATAAAAAACAGTAAAAAAGTTGTTTCAAAGACGTTGGTCGGCAATTTAATAAGAGAGCGTGAAAGAGGGCTTCTTAGCGCCAGAAAGTCCCGTAGTTAGTAACCAGTTTGAAACTGTGGACTTAGAAGTAATCGTTGAAAAACGAAGGATCTAAGCTAGGCCCTCATATAGATTTTGTTAACATGAACTACTCATGATCTACACAAGAAAAACGCAAAAAACTACTCATCTACGAAATAAGTTTTGGCTCAAAATATGGGCATTTTGCCCAAACTTTGGCGTTTTACCAAACAACTACTGACAGAGAGCTTAACAAAATTTTGATTTTTTTATGCGAAAAAACCTATTTGAGCGCTTAGCTCAAATCCCTAGCTTTTCAGCAAACACTTTTAAGTCCAAAGTTTCAAACTGCTTCTGCTGTTCACGGCGCGTTTTTGAGGCTAACATGAACCTTCTGGAGCCCTCTGATTAAATGGCCAAACAACTTCTTAAAAAACAGTTTTTTACGAATCTTTCAAGCCGGAATCTTACATAAATGTTGAGAAAACGACACAAATGTGAAACAAATTTCGTTCACTTCATCGCTTGAAAACTAAATGTTGCAACTTCTGTCCTGTGACTGCAGCTCTTTTTCAGTGACGATTCTCTAAATCTGCGATAAAATCGTTGCATTCCATTTTCGAGTCAATTTTTTAGGGAAGATTTTCTCCAAGCCTTCATACATATTTGAAATGTTCTTTGGCTCTTTTTTGTTTTTTTTAATTGTTTTTTTTTTGTAGATAAATTATCTTTTCTACTTGCAAAACAACCAGGAGAATTCAACTTTTAGTTATTTTTTTAAGGCAGCCGAGGCTACTCAAAAAGTAACTTTCTGCTCTTTGTCAAGTTCAAATGACGACCATGCGTCTTCCCTTTTCGGCCAGGAGAGTGCACCAATGATTGCCCTTCAGAAGAACTTATTCGATTTGAACAGCCAATCCGATGCAGCTAAGAATCAACAGCTGCAGCAAAAAGGGTATGAAGATATGGTCCTCTCCTTGACCCGAAGTTTAAATAAGAGCAAAAATGGGATTTACCGAACAATTTCCCCACTTTATTTGCGCGTTCGTTTGAAATGCATATTTTATACATAATTATTTTTCAGAATTAACTCATACTTGGGGAGGGAAATTGAACAGTTGATCCCAAAAATAAAACGAGCCGAGAAAATATATATTTTTCAATATTAGAAATAAGAGTAAGTTATACTAGAACGGTTCAAAATGTCTCGTGGAAATTGGTCTCTTTGTAATGCAATTAAATTTTTGATGCCCGCTTAATGAGACATTTTATCCGACCCCTTGAAAAAAAAAAACATTTTAGATTCACCAAATTAGTGGTGTTCCAGATTTAAAAAAAGTTCCAAACGTCTGGTCTCGTTGTTATTGAGAAAATTTGGTCTGAAAATTTTAGTTTTCAGACATTTTTGGACAAAGTTTGATTAGAGGGCTGATTTCCCTCAATCTACTTCTACTACAATTTTATTGTTGTTTAAGCTCCTTTTACCCTTCATTTCGTCTTTTTTTAAACTATAAATCAGTCTCTTTTATAAGGGTAATCTGTTGTTTTTTTGTTCCTGTTGATTGCTTCGATTTTTCGACTGTTGAATTTAAGGCCTGAAATCAACGAAGGTGACATGAGTAGGCTGGAAATCAACTCGAACAGTTCGAACGACGAAGGGGCGAACCCATTTCTAAACCGAGTGCTGAAAGAACTGAAAACGAGTGTGAAGTACGACGAGTTCACTGCAAGCAAAAATGCCAGAAATCTAGGTAAAGCTATGCAGTTTTGAAGTGACACGATGTTAAACCAGGTAGAATAAATTAGAAAGAGCAATATGCCAATTTTGATCTAATGTTATGTGCAAGTACGAATTTTCCTGTGGCCTTTAGATATGTGGCTATTATATGTGCCTGTGGCTTCTAAAAACTAGCTTTCGCATACGAATTGTTTCGCAAATAGGTTATTTTTCTATTAACTTTGTACATCCGAACTTTTTGCCAATCTTTATCGAGCAGACCAATTTAAATAGTAATAGAAAGTAACACTATATGCAAAAACTAGGTTTTCAGACAGAACTTGCTCCTCATGGGCGTCTGAAAAGTGAAATTTGCATTCAAATCTTGTTTACAATTGCAATCAGCGTTGTGTATTTTTATGAACCTTCTTTTTTCTAAGCTTACTCGCAATTAAATGTGTTCACTTATTCCGGGCACTTTAACTATAATCACGATCTGTAGCAGTGAAAATTTCATAGCATCTGTTTTCTGCTTTATTTACGGCAAGTATTTGGTACCTATTAAGCGTCCGTGGCTAAGTGGTCAGTGCGTGAGACTCTTAATCTCTAGGTCCAGGTCGCAGGCTGGAATCTCAGCCATAATGATTTTTTTTTTACTAATTAGAGGCTTATTTCTAGTTTTTCTTATTCCTTTTCCTGGAACTGCTTCTTGTCGTATTCTCGCTACCTCGTGCTTCGCCTCTGTGTCAAAATTCAAACTTTAATTTTTTTGGCTTTTACCTGCAAGTTTTATCCAATCTTTAGAATGAAAAATATGCTGTAAATGATGTAAATTTGATCTAGACTTTAGTTTAGTTGAGAATTTTGCAGAATATAGTTTCTTCGGCAGAAAAAAAAAGAGTAAACGGATCGTATCAGTTTTTTGTGTTCGGTCAGATGTTTTTTTTTGCCAATTACTGGTGTTTTTAAAAGGAAATAATTATTTTTAGCAAATTTGCTCTTTATAATTATTGATGAAAAAACAATGCTGATTACCTAACAATTAATTAGTGAAGACACTTATAAAGATCGTGATCTTTTTTCCGTTTTTTTTTCTAAAAAAGTCTTCTATGTTGTTCACTCTTTATTCGCATCTCAATTTTCGGTTTCTTGTTTAGTTCAATTCAATTTTAATTGCCTAAAAGAAAGCATTAATGCTCTTCAATTACAATTAAAAAGAAAGCCAATGGCGCAAAAAACGTAAATAAATTATAAATGGATTTTAATTTCTAGATTTCCAAGCGGAATGAAAATGCCAAACTGTGTTAATCTTATCACAAAAAATCAACCGTAAAAGTTTTTTTGTTTTTTTTTGGAAATGCTTCAAAAATAATCATTCATTTTTTCGGGTTTTTTGAGTTCATTGAATCATGCATATTTGTCCGCGACGTTTTTTTGTTTTTCGAAATGGGGGTTTTAGGCTCGAATTGCTGAATCAATTTTCATGTGGATTTTCAAGTTCAGATTGCACAAAACCGTGTCTCACTTTGTTTTTCGAATTAGGATGTTAATTTCAGAGTTCCCAACGGAATGAAATATAATGCCTATTTATCCAGTTAGAATTCTCAAGAAAGTGCCAATCATAAAAGATCCTTGTAATTCAATGCAAATGTTTTTTTTATAAGCTACTATGTTTTTCCGATTTTTGAAAGTTGAAAAATTTACTAAAAAGTCTCTTTTTTTTGTGGTTTCCTTGAGCTCATTGACACTTCGCCAACTTTTTGTTAGCTTTGTTTTTCTTTTGTGATTTTTTTGTGCTGTCCAGTTTGTGAGAAGTTATGATCTTTTTGAGTTTTCTTCGTGGGTCTTTGTCGATGAGCTAGTCGTCTTGATTTTTCTTTGGTGAGATCTACCAGACAAGGGGTTCGATTATAAACTGATAAATTTAGAGTTAAAATAGGCATAAAAATCGAATACGTAAAAGCTTTTTTAATTTGTTGACTTCTGAAATTTAGATAAAGACACGACAATCTGGGTGTCGAAAAAGCATCAAAAACTTAGCATGGAGCCGATATACGAAGACTTGCTGAAGTTTGTTCCTGTCTTTCTGCACCCAAATCACGCCATCAGAAGTGAACAACTTTTCGCTCCTGAAGTTGTTAAATTACACGAGAATTCACAGGATGAAAAAGGTGAAAATAGCGAAAAGTTTTCCGAAAATCGTGAAGTTTCGATAAATAAAGAACACGTTTTTGACGCGAAGTTATTGAAAGTTGAGTTTAGAACGCCACATTGGTTCTATTTTGATATCTTGAAGCATACATACAATCATAAAATGGCTGAAAAAGAATGGAAAATTTATTCTTGGATATACAGTAAATGGAGGCTCGGTTTGAACGATTCGTATGTGTGGGATTTAAAAGAAATTGACGATACTTGGAACATTGTTGCATACATGACTGAAGCTATAATTATTCGTGAATTCTTATCCCACGAATCGGTGAAAACTGCGAAATTGAAAAAATCGTCAGTTTTAGTGAAAGAACACAAATATGTTTACGAAGATGTCGATTTTTTGGTCTCATTTGTTCACGAAAACCCAGAAAAATTTGGAAAAAGTTACTTCATGTGGTGTTTTCGTGTGACGTTTTTAAATGGCTTAATTTTACTCCTTACAAACGTGAATTTAGAAGCGCTCAAGTTCGTAAAGTTTGCTTCGTTAAATTTCGAAAGTGTAAGTTATTCGAAAAAAATTTCAGCTATTCGGTACACGTACGGCAATCGTGAACTTAAAGTAAATCGAAGCTATTTTGAAAATCTTTGTGTCCAGGTTCGAATCCGGGTTGGAACCCCATCAACTGAAAACAGTTCTACAATTTCTCAAAACTCCGAAAGTGAAAATGAATCTCGCAAACAGTCAAATTACGCTCTAGTAATTGAAAATTTGGAACCGGTTTTAAATAATTTGACAGAAGCGAAAAAAGATATTTCGAGTTTAATCAGTAATTTGAGGAAACTGAAATCCAACTTGGCGAACTTTTGGAAGTCAAGTTCAATTATGATTGCTGAGATATCTCTTAAGTTTTCGATTATTCAACTGAAAACTGACATTGCTACTATTGAAATTTATCTGGGAAGTTACGTGTTAACAAAAGGCAAAGATTTCAATACTGAAGACATTTGGCACCATCTGGAAAATATGCTCAATTTTTCAAACTATTTGCTCGAATTGTCAACTGAATATAAAATGCGACTTGTTCATTGTATGTTGACGATCTTACATATTACGATTAACCGAGCGAAGTGTTTACCAATTGATGGTTTGAATGTAATGGTTAATACAGATGAACTCGAGAAGTTAAAACCTCTGATTATCAAAACTGCAACACCTTGGATTATATTAGCGAAATTAATCGAAAAAGAAGAACTTAATTCGAAAGATAACGCAGCAATGTTTAACCACTTGTCGCCCGAGTCGAAAGAAGAAAGTCAGTTGCCTATGTTTATTAAATTCCTAATGGAAGGTCAGTGATGTCCATTTAAAAAATATAATTAAAAGGGAAATTGAAATTCGAATAGCTCATAAAGTTAATTACCCTTGCGATAAGCAATGATGCGATCGGATACTAGACTTTTTCCCGTAAATAACTTCACAGAATGTTAAAAATTAAAAATGGTAATTTTTGGTTCAGATCATAATAATTTCAAGTTTCTCTGGGTCTCAGGCACACTTGGTCTGGAGGTTACGAATATGCCTGGGACTGCGAAGGTTCTTCGGTTCGAATCTGACACTACCTGTTTTTTTTTCAAACCTTAAATATTCCGTTTCAGAAGAATGTCGGCTTATGTCTGCTTATGTTTTGTCGGCTTAGTTACCACATCTTGGAATCGTTTTTTTTTGCTGTACGCAAGTTACATTGAAGTTGCTTTTAGAGTTTTCTTTTTCTGCTCTTTGTTATTTTACAAACCTTCACTTCGTTTATATTTTTTAGTTTAAAAGTGTTCTGCCCAAATGATTTCGGCTTTTATTTTATCGGCTTTGTGATCAATTTTCGATTAGTTTTAAGGGAAATATAATTTTTATGCTCTCCTCTACATCGCATGAAATGCTAAAAAATATGATTTATTTACCTTAGCGTCAGCTTAGTGTTTTATTAAGAACCTTCTTTTTTTCTACCCGTAGTCGCAAATATTGGTGTCACTTTTCGGGCACCTTTACTGCTTTTTGATAGCATGTGCTTTGATATTTGAATACTAATAATTTTACAGTTGATGCATTTTTAATTCAGCAAATGAACCGAAAAAAGCTATTTGTTTCAAACAACATAACAATCAGAAAAGGTCGGTTTCAGACATTTTCGAACTCAATTTATCTCGCAATTTTTTGAATTTCATAATTTATACATATTTTGGCTTTATTCTTTGCGATTTGTTAGGGGCAAAGTTAGTGTGGATGCCTACAGTTTCTTAAATTCCAAATTATTACTTGCAAATTCGTGTCTATTTGTGTTTAGGCCACTTTTGCTGGATCACATTGGAAGTATATTAGCATATGAAGCTGCTTTATTTGTGACTAGTGTTTGTCGATGGTTAAGCGTGCGTGGCTGAGTGATTAGTGCGTGAGACTCAAAATCTCTTGATTGCAGTAGGTCGCAGATTGAATCCTAGACCTTGCCGATTTTTTTGACAATTCAAGGCTTATTTCTATTTTTTCTTTTTGCACTTTCTAGAGCTGCTTTTTGTCGTGTTCTCGATCGTGCTTGCAAAGCGAAGCTTCGCCTCAGTGTAGATTTTCTTGAAAACAATTTTTTCGGCTTTGTGAGTTTTTTTTCTTTATTATTGCGCTTGAATGATTTCGGTCTGTATAGAATCGGCTTAATGGCCATATATAGCGAAAAAAATGTATGTTGAGGGTGGAGGCGACTTATTTTTTCTTTGTCTTCGGCCTTATTGGTTTCAGCTCATAGTATATCGGCTTAGCGACCTCATATTGTCTCATTTTATGAGCAAATTAAGTTTTATATCTGTGTGTGTTTTGAGAGTGAGTGGTTTGTGTAAATAATTTTTATAAGTCTTTAGTCGTGTTGATTTTTTTTCTGCTTAAAATGTTTCTGCTAAGGTATTTTCGGCGTTGTAACCGCTTGGTTTTTTTTTTCGGTTGCTGATTTTACATTTTGTTGTCTTGGTATGTTTTTTTCCTGTTTGATGAAAAGAGGTACAACTAAAATGCGTGGAGTTCAGTTTTTTTGTTATTTCTACGTTTTTTTTTCTCCTAAACACTTCAACCGATTTTCACCGAAGTGGTACAATTGGATCATTCGCTTCTCACTTATGTGCCTGCATATTCCGCTAGTCTCTTTTACCGTATGCAACTCTCTACGACCTTAAAAAATTTCAGTGATTGGGGATTGACTCATTTTTTGGACTTCTTCTATTTTCTCGAAAACTACTGCCAAATCTCTGATTAAGGGTTTAATCGATAAAACAGGTAGTGGGGAGTTTTCTTGCATTGGCGGGTATGTCCTAATTTTAAGATCTACTTAACAATTACCCCCCCCCCCCTTTTTTTAAGAAAGGGGGCAATTGTTAAGTAGAGTAATATAACTTATTTTCGACCAATCAGGTTGCAGCAAAATTAGAAGTCTCAATACAAAGCTCTAGCGTTAATTTACTCCTTTTATTAATATGGGTGGCAATTCTTAAGTAAGTACCAAAGGGAGGGTAATTGTTAAGTAGATCCTAATTTCATAGCAGAAAAAAATTATTGTATTTGAAACTTTTCAATATTTGATCATTTTTTTTAAAATATATTTTCGGAAACTACTTTAACAAGTGCAGGTACCCAGATGAAGTTAGTCCGTCCAGTCTTCTAAATCGCTTCTCAGATTGAAGTTCCGCATTGGGTGTCCTGTTCTCCTGGTCGTGCGGCCAGCTTCGTCAAGGAACGCAGGGATTCGCTCTGGATTCTAACGCTGCCACTGTGTTCAATGTCGAGGTCGGCGTTGTTTTAGTTGACTCTGATTTTCCATTTCTACTTCGTAAGAGGACGCAACTGCTCCTCTGGGGGACTTCGGAATGGTGGGTGGAGTTTCGTCGCTACAATAGAAGCGCCGCATCCATTCTTGTTTTTTTTTCCTGGACTGATGAGTTGGTCCAGATTTCGATGCCGTCTAATTCAAGCGAGGCGAGGAATTCTTTTGTCTTTGGCACTCGTGTTCTTGACAGCTCGTCTTCTTTGTTGTCTCAGCCAGGTCGAGTCATAAGGTTGTGTGTGGTTTGGATGGCAAGACGCGCAGGAGAGACAGCCCATCTCTGCTGCAAGTGTTCTCCAACAGCCGCGATTCGTTCTTCTCGTGTCGTTGTCTGGTTCGGTGTGGTCGCTTCTTCTTCTTCTTCTTCTTCTTCTTCGGTGTGGTCGCTTCTTCTTCTTCTTCTTCTTCTTCTTCTTCTACTTCTTCTTCTTCAGAGTTTACGTGTTCAAGCCAGTAGTACTTTCTTGTTGTTCATACGGAGACAGACTGTCACCACAAATGCTCTTTTGTTCTGTTCTGCTTCGGCAAAACAGCGAGTGGAAGGCTGTGTTTTTTTCATCCACACGGAAGAGCATTAGTCGGCAATAACGCGGATGTTAGCAATGTAATCCGCTCGCAGCTTGTGCTGACCTGTTTGTACCTATCTTCTTGCGATAGCGACGAGACCCTCACGTCTGATAGCCGTTCGTCTCTTCATATCCGCAGTATGGTCAGCAAAGTTGAGTTGGCAGTCTAGCTTCAGTCCCAGAAAAGTGGTTGTTTTTCCGAACTTGCCAAAAACTGTCCTCCCAAATCTGCGATTTAGAGTTCGATCCAATGAATATATTGTGGCGATTTTTCCTGCTGAGGGAGCACACCCTAATTTTGATGGGGAAACTACTATTGGGAAACTACTTGGGAAATGTCCGATTTTTGACATTTTTTCTTTTTGCTCGGAAGCTATTCTCCATATCTGGGATTAAGGGTTCAATCGAAAGATCAGACTGTGGCAATGCTCGCCGATTAAGATGGCACACCCCTTTTTGTAGGTAAACCTTTTTTGACTTGGGAAAATTCCATATGTTCCATTTTGATCGTTTTTGTGAAACTTTTTCATTTTCTTGCAAATTACCTTCCCAAATCTGGGATTAAATCATAAGAACAGGTTGTAAGAGTATTCCCTGCATAAGCCGCTGCTCACATTTTCTTAAGTGAAACTGTCCTTGCCGTGTGATTGGGACACGGAGTACTGCCATATTTGTAAATAAAACGCACGATATTTTTTTTGAATTTTGGGAATTATAAAAATTAACAATTTTGGAAATTATATAAATTAACAACAAATTTGGGAATTATACAAATATCAAAAGGTATTTCCAATTTTAGATGTGCCACTAATTAAGTTTAACGTTTTTATTTACATGGACATTACTGTAAAAGGTCACGAGTATTCAAAAGAAGGTTTGGGATTTTGTAACTTCTCCGATGGTCTTCTAATGCACAGAATTATTGAAGCTTTAACTGAGATCCTAAACGACCAAAGTTTAACTATTGCGCCACACTATCGGAGAGTTTATGAAGAAGAATTAGACCAGTGTTATTATTGTCTGTACCAACTTAAGAGAGCAAAAGCAAAAACTGAAAGTCACTGTCAAAATACAAGTGTCTTACAACTTTGTCACGTTGACAGGGTTTTCAGGCATTTTTTGCCCCCAGAAAAACCAAGTTTCGACAACAAAAAACCGAAATTGACCAATGATGAAGCTACAATGATGAAAAGAATTTTCGAAATTTGTTGGACAGATTTTGAGAATGACTCAAAAATGATTGTTTCCAAATTTGACCAGGCTATCGAAGAATGTCTTAAATCGGAAAAATTTGAAGATCTGGATGTAATTTTTTCTACCGTTCCTCAAAAGAAACTCTTGGAAGATAAATTGAAACCATGTGTTATTGAAATGTTGCACTATTTAGCCGATTATTTCAAACATGGGCTAGAAACCGAAAATGCGATGAAATTCACGATATTGACCCTGTTTTTCAACCCTGGAAATTTAGACAGTTGGGTTGTTTTGAGTCTTTGCAAAAAATGGTTGATTGAGTCTCAGTTTTTAGACATCGAAATTTTTCCTACAATTGAAGATGTTCTCAAAGTTTCTAAAATCGGGTTTCTTTGCTTCAGAAAAGCGATTTCGATTCAAAAGGAGAAAATAGTAATTTCGACCCTTTATATTGAGCTGGGCTTACTGTATTACCAACTATGTAGCTTCATTCGTCGAAGCAAAGATTTCCAGGAAAATCAAAATTGTTACTCAATTACAAGTTCGACTGAAGAGTTTTACAAAGACTGTTTCCAATGTTTTACTGAAGCGTTAAAAATTTGTAATTTCGAAGATAAATGGCTTTGTCATTACATGTTTGGAAAAATTACTCAGAAGTTGAACCCTCCCAATCCGTCAATTAAAATTTGCAAAGAAGTTTTGGAGCATTACTTGAAATCGATTCAGTTACTCGAAAAAATGGGAGCGAAATTGCCGAGAAAAATAACAACTCTAACACCACAACAATTTTCAGTCGAGATTTTGGAACTGATTTACCGACTTTTCGCCTCTGCGATCAAAATGATTGATCAAAATAACTTTTTAGCTATTCACGAATTTCTAAGAATTGTGATGACTCATCCTTTTATGGATAAACATTTGATGAAAGATGATGAACAACAATTTGATCAGGCTCAGAGTTCAAAAATTGGGCTGAAAACTAATCCGAAAGGTCCAAATTCGAATCCGAGTCATAACCAAATTGTAAGCGTTAGCTCCGATAGTTCCGACGAACGTTCCCGAATGGAAAAATTAAACGAAATCCGAACTGAAATTCTAAACTGGTGCTCGGAAGTTTTCGTTGCATGTGCTCGGCGCTACGCTCGTCACGCCAAAAGCTTATACAGATTATGCGATATTCACAAAACAAAATTACGAAATGTCGAAACAGCTCTGAAATTTCTTTACAACCCTGAGTCGAGTATTACAGGAGGCTCAATGAATGTTTTGCAACCTTTATTAACTTATGTTAATGCACACGGAATCGTAACATTCTCGACAATTTATCGACCAAATTGCCACGAAGTTGATAGATGCGGAAGTTATTACAACTTAATCGGCAAAGCAGTTTTAGCAGCTGTAGATATTTTAGTGCAGGTCGGAGCATTGGACGAGCTCACAGTTTTTGCTAGAAGTTTGGCCAAATCGGGTGACAAATACTACATGCATGAGCCTATTCGATCCAAAATTTACCAGAAAAGCGTCATTGCTTTTATGGAAGTTGCTCAACGCGATATACAAAACATGCCGAAAAAAATTGACGATTTGGGCGGCGCTCAGCAAAACGATGCAAAATTAGGGTTCAAAATGCTGGCAGCTTCCGTTCATAAGTTTTTGACCTTGAAATTACCTTACTGCACAGAAGATTACGTAATACACCGGAAGTTGAAGAAGGTTTTGATGGATTGTTACGTAAGAAGCAGTGGCGATTTAGACTACGAATCGACTAATTCACTATCGGATGACGTAATGCTAGTTAATGAAGGTAATTTAGTCGAAACGAGCGCTAAGACGAAATCGAAGCAGTCCGAACTAGTCGAAAGTATGTGTCAAAAATACGCAGAGTTATGCTTGCTAGGAATTTCGGCTAAGTTTGCGGTTTCGGCTACTGGAAAGTCCGGTCAGCAAAATTCGAGATTTTCTTACCGAGCACGGTGTTGTGGTATGAGTGAAATGCCCATGCAAATAGCGCAAGATGTCCAAATGCAAATTAAGTCGAAAAAATTGCAAATCAACAAGAAAAAGAAACTAACTGTGGCGGAAAAGAAGTACGCGGGTATGGTTACAAGCAGAAGTAATATGCCCAAAGGCTTTCGATCCTCAATGATGAACCAAAAATGAGAGAAAAAAATCAAAAAGTCGGTCTCAAAATTTTTCTCCATGATTTCAATCTCAAACGTTTTCTGCTATTTTTTTGCTCAGCTTAATTTATTCTCGCAGATTCGGCCCCTTCATTATGAATTTTTTGTGCGTTTCAAGGTTTATTCTTTAGTGGTTGTTGTAGCCTCGAATAGCTCCATAGATACAGAACTTGTTTGCTTTTTCAAGGTTCCTACTATTAAATGCATTCATTTTTAGTGTTGGCTTAATGTTGAACTCCGTGTTTACATGGAAATTGAGCTTAGATTTAATTGTTTTGAATACCTACTCTATAAGTGAGTTCTGATTTTATATCTGAGTTAGAAATTGAAATTTATCTTCTTGAATGTTTTTTTTTAATTTGCTGGCTTATCTCATTGACTTAAATGAATAAAGCGGTAATTTGTTGAGGTCACAAGTAGTATCGCAGAACTAGAAGCTAAAAGTGGTGCAAATATTCCTTTTTTCTGACCTTTAACTCGATTAATAAGGAGTGAATTAATGAGATTTGAGTGATAATCTAGTAGTAATCCAGACCAAAAATATATGGTAAATCAACAGTACAAAGTTACCAGAATCAATGACTAAGGGTCATGTTTCACCAGCTAATTTTAATAAAAATCGAGAAGTGATCTTTCAGGTTGAATCGAATACGAATATCAATTCCAGTTCAGTTAGAAAAAAATTACCAATAAGTAGTATGACAAAACTGCAAGCTAAAAGAGTGCGAATATTCCTTTTTTCTGACCTCTAACTCGGTAGAACAAAAAAAATACTGTGTGGGCGTTAATTCAAAAGCAAAAACAGGTACCACAAAGACACACCGTAAAAAGTCAATTTTTACATCCAGTCTTCCCAATCACGATTGGATATTCAAGCCCACCCGGTAGCAATTTGAACTGCTATAAAAAATTTTAAGCTTGTTTTCTTGGTATGAAATTTCATAGGTTTTTTAAAGCTCAATGTAGATGAAAAAATTGTTTAATTCAATTCACTATTTACATTTACGAAATCAAACACTTCAAAATTTCAGCAAAAAAAACTTTGAATTTTTTTTGTTACAAATTGTTGCCCAATTTGCTTAATTTACGTTGACTATCGAAAATTCCCTGAGCTCTAGTTTTTGCTTAGATCTTTTTAGCATACCACGCATAAAAAAGACCTAATTTGAAAAAAAAAAGATTCTGTTGGTTTCTTTTTTAAGATTATGGTCGAAACATTCTATGCTACTTATCTCCAAACAGGCTATCTTTGTTTTGGTCTTTGAAAACGGCCGATTAATTGACTTGGAATCCTTTCATGCTTTGCTTATGTATTGCCATTATATCATGAATACTGGGTTGCAAGGGAGGTCACTTAGGTGTTGGTTTTTTAAGATAAGTTTGTAAAATATGAAGCTTCTACTCGGATTTCTAAATAAATGGAAACTTTACCAATTTATCTAAACATTATTGCGTTTGGCATTTCACTTGGCTCATGTTCACAAGTCATTGTGATTGCTGGTTAAAATGCCAAAACATGGCAATGCTTAATTTTTTAAAAACTTTTCACCCGAAATTAGGTACCACAAAAATTATCATCGGAATAGTCGAGTAACATATCATATTAAATCATTTGTAGTCGTGATTCGAACGATATTGAAAAGTTTGCAAAAAAAGTTGAGCAAGTGTCGATAAAAACCGATTGAAAGCTTTTGAGTTTTAGTCTAATTTCGAGCGAGTAAAGCGATCGAGTAACGACAATTTTATTACAAGCAAAACTTGTGTGATAGTATGAACTCTCTTTTTTGCCAACCTAAGTTGCAAATATTAGTGTAAATTTTAAAAGTGTTCATTTTGATCAATAAACATCTATTCAGTACAGCCACTGCTAAGGATATTAACACAGACTATCTTATTACCAATAGCACTTTAGCTTCAAGGTATCATGACTCTGTAGCGTAGACGTAGGGAAGGATACCCGGAACAAAATAATAAGTTTCGAACCTGGACAGGCTCGGATGTTTTTAATGAACTTTAAAACTTGGATAATTGGCCTGCGTCACTTGAGAAATTTTGTAGACTCAAAGTTTTACTTATTCATTTTTTCCCAGTAGCGTTATCGGTCATATTTTTGCTTGTGTATGCGAAGATCAACTTCACCTCTGTATATAAAAAGTAGTCGTTCAGGCTAAGAAAATCTCTTTTATAAAAAGTTTTCTTGTTTTGAAAGGTTCATCTAGCGCTTGAGTAGCAATTAAAGCTTTCTAAAGTAATTAAAAATACTGTTGTTCAAGGTCAAATAATTACCTTCATTTGAAGAAATGAAATATTTTTTTCTTGTGATTTTATAAATGTGGTCGAAACTTTCTGTGCATGCTTTTCGTTCAATTAATGATCTAATTATGTCAAACTCCCTAAGCAGTTTATGTTCTTACCGTTGTTGTGCATATTCCAATCCTTCAGTTCTCACCCATTTCGTAAGGCAAAGTTTCAAATGTCTTTCATTAATTTTTCTTTTTCATCGTCTTCAACAAAAATTGCTCTTTTAATTTTTAGTTCTGCAAATAGTGTTTTTATTTTACAAGTTTTTATTCAGCGAGAAATAAACAAATCTACAATGGATTGCTTTCAGAATACACGTACTTCAGGGGCTTAAGTTCAGCCTCGAAACATAACTGCTCAAATCATTTTAGTTTCCGATATGTGACCTTATTATGATTTTTTCATTTTTTTTACAGTTGTGGTTTCCAAATGGGGCCCATCAAATCTTTCATTTTTGAGATGATTATGGTTTTTATATTTGTTAAACAGTAATGCTGGATTAATTGATTGATAGAATTAGCTGATAGACGTACGGGCGTGTATATTTTTATTGGTAGATTTTTTTCTGATTTAAGAATCCGTTTGAACCTCCCCTGATGTGAGCGTTTCGCTAGTCATTCATACTAAGGACTTAAATTTTTAGCTGAGTATTCGTAAATTTGTTAATTAAGAGAACAAATATTTGCTGCATGCTACCAGCCTTATTTTTCCAAGACAGCTGTTGCAGATTATGCCTAATTCGCCATCGTTCTACTCTTTCATATAGTTACTGGTTTAAAAAGCGGAAATACGTGTAGTTTAGTTAGTGGATATGACGATTTGTGGAAAATTGTATGAACATTTTGGATTGCTGTCTGATGAGTTCGTTTAGATTTAACGCAAAGCTTGCAATTGATTCGATGTTTTAAAATTTTGTCGGACAGTTATTTTTCTTGTTGAGAAGAGAAATGAAATATTTTTTAAATCGATACAATATTTAACTGGCGTTTTCCTTGAGACATGCTTTAGAAATACCTATGCTGACATGTTAAATTGCCAATATATCGCACTGTTTAAAATGTTGGGTGGAGTCAACGCTATAAAATAGTCCGGATGAATGTGGTCAGAACTTTCTGTGCTAGTTGCACAGCAACCGGCTATCCTGTTTGAAGCACGCTTTTTGTTTCAATAATGATCTAATAATTTCAAATTCCCTAAGCCATCTATGATTTTACCGTTGGTATATTCTAACCCTACAGTTCTCTCCTATTTCGGATCGCAAGTTTTCAGAAGTCTCATTTCATTTTCCTTAGTTTTTTAACACCTTCCGCCTTGTTAAGAGTAATGAACATAGTGAGAACTCTTATATAAGTCTTGCTGATTTTTTTTTTGTTTTTTTTTTTTCAGGAAGAAGTCTTAAAATTTGTTCACGCAATTTTGATTTTTCGCGGTTTCATTTGTGATTTCTTTTTAAGTTCAGTGCATTTCCATTGTTAAAAGGACGGCAAACTCCTCTGTCATATAGCAAAAGTGTAAAGGTCACGAAAAACGTGATCGACTTCTAATTTCAATATTGGAAATTAATTATCAGATATCCCAGCGAAAAAAAAGTTTCGCCTATTGATCCAGTTTTCTCAAATTGGGTTGATTTTAACAAAAAAAGTGTCCATCGTAAATTGTTCTACAAATTCGAAGAGCTTTAAGGCCATCTATGTTTTTTCTTCGAAATTCAAAAGTTGAAGACTTTCGAAAAAAAAACTCAGTCTTTGTTTCAGTTTCGTTGTGTTCGTTACTCTTTTCCAACTGTCATGAATTGAATCATGGCTAAACATAAAACGTTCTCATTTTCGGTTGTCGGAATATTGCATTGTTCAAAGTTCAGGTTTTTGAAGAATTGAGTAGCAGCGTGATGTATCTTTTCAGTTATTTGATTTGAGAATCATGAAAGTCAAGCTGTATCGTACCAGCTTCCTTTTCATGTTGGTCTTACCGGTTTAAAAGCGCAAAAATCGGTGTATTTTACAGGATGAGTCGTTTTTCGGAAATGTTCATGAGCATATTGTATTGCTGTCTGATGAGTTCGCCTAGATTTACCGCAGAATGGCAATTGACTCGATGTTATCAAACTTTGTAGGACAGTTTTTTTTGTTTTGAATAGTTATGATTTAAATTTATAAATCGATACAATATTTAAATTGCGTTTCCCTTGATACATGATCAAGAAGTCGTCTCTAAGTTAATATGTTAAAATGCCAATATATCGCAATGTTTACTGTAGTAAACTCTATAGATTATTCTGGATGAATGCTAAAAAACTTCTCCAAAGGTCAATTGAATGCAAATTTCCAATGTCATCTACGGTTTTCATCTATTTCTAATTGAGCTCCAATGCTTCAACTCGATAGTTTTTCCCTTTTTCGCAACGCCATTAAAAAGTTTTTTTTGATTTTTTATTCGGCAAACTTTTATTTCATCCAGCAAGAAGTAATCAAATCTATAATGGGGTGCTTTCAGAATACCGGTACTCCCAGGGGTCTAAATTTGGCCTAGAAAATAACTTCTTTTCCGATATCTGACCTTATTGTGATTTTTTTCAATTTTTTTTTACAACCGTTGTTTGCAAATATGGCCGCCCTTTTTTTTTGAAAAATGACGTTTTATGGTTTTACAAAGACTGATTGAGTTTGGTTAACCTACTTCTGGATAAATTGATTGATAAAATTGCCTGATAGATGTACGGGCTACTGAATGGGCTGACTGTTTTATTCCCCCAGTCTATTTTACGGTTAGATCGAGTTTCCTTGTTTTTTTTTATTTTATAAGAAGCCTTTTTCTTGTTCAATAATCAATGCGAAGCAACCTTGGTGCAAGTTTTCTACTAGTCATTCATAATCGGGACTTCAAACCTTAATTGATTATACGTAAATTGTTTAAAAAAGAAAAATTGTGGTTTGCTACCAGACTATATTTCAGGATTGCAATTCTGAGCCCAACGCACGAAGTGGCAAAACGATATGGCTTTTGTCAGAGTTTTCGATTTTTTTTTTAAATCGTGTTTGCAAAAAATGTTTTAATGTCTATCTGGTTTCTTTATTTTCTATTCTGATCACGTGTTCTTGCTAGAAAAGCTTAGCACTTTAGAGGTTATCAAAGCAGATCTGGTAGTTTTCAGTTTTCCTGTAACAGAAATGATTTAACAAAAGTTATTCTTCCAATTCGGGAATCTACAGTTTTAGTTGGTGTTTTCTCAAAGCTGTTTAAATTAGAAAAGTCTGAAAAATGGATAGTTGTGGTAGATGCTACCAGTCTTTTATTCAGAATTTTTTTCTGTAACTTTAACACAAAATTTCATAAATTTTTAGTTGAACAACTATATCCTCAGCAAAATTGCTTTTAAGTTTTCTGAAATTGTTTGATGAAGTGAATTTTTGTTCGTCTTTTGGAAATGGCGATTTTTAACCAATTTTTTCTTTACAATGAGGTAGATGACGCGGGGTTATCCATGTCGCATTTGCAGTCGGAACTTAATGATAGTAACTGCTGTTGGATGCCAAGATAACATTTTAGTGTATCCCCAATTTTCTTATCTATGGCAACGCACATTTTTTAGGTTTAAAGATTTCAGGAAGCAATATCCAGGATAAACGAAAGGCACTTAGCGTAGTTGTAAGGATTTCAGTTCGTGATCGTTAGATCGTGTAATCAATCCCCTGCCATGACAATGATAGTGTGTGAGGATGAGCTTTCACTTGACCTCTAGCATCAGCTCTAGGACAGCCGGACCGATTACGGCTGCAAGAGTGGTATCACTTGAAAGTCCGAGGCGCAATAACGGCGTTGAGTCGCAAAACGCAGAAAAAGAGCTTCGCCCAACAAAATAACTGTGTCTGGAATTAGGGAAAATTAGATAAGCGAATTATGCTTAGACAGACTGCAAGGCCTTTCGTAGATCCTCTGCGAATCGCAGAAACGCCAATTATTATTTTAACAAGATTTTTTCATGCTCGCGCAAGTTTATTTTCAATTGTTGATGCAGTGGGTTGTCATATAAGTAGTTTTTATTTTTTTTGTTTCGTTTTTCCAATAAATCATTTCAGATTTTTTTTTGATTTTCGGGGCAAAGTTCAAATTACACACTGACAAAAAACGAAAAGCATCTAAGATAATTGATTTCGTTTTTTTTTCAATAAACGTGACTACAGGATCAGTCAAGTACTCAATTGATTTAATTTTTTCAAAAATATTCAATCAGAGAGTTGATTAAATTCTGAAAAAATTATGCCATAAAAGTCCTGAGTCATTTTGTTCTCGATTTTCCTGAGTTCCTAAACGACCTTTAGTTTTTGTGAGATGCTCTAAATTTTGCTGAAGTTTAGATTAGATTTGTGTTTGCTTGTTTATGCGAATTACAAGTGCAGATCTGTTTTATGTTTAAATGAGCTGAAATCTGGCTTCAATCACTTTTTTGGGCCGAATAAACAATATACTTACAGATAGTCCTGAAAAATTGAAAGTTGACAAAAATTAACACGAACTGATGCTCAAATTAATTGTTTTGGCAATGTTGAGAAAGAGTAGTTTGGAGTCATTTCAGCAAAAAAAATGTTTTCGAGGTAAATTTTTAAGATCGATTGTCTTGAAATTGATTACACGTGCTGCATTCGCAGTATTTGTTGTTTGCTGTTCAATTTTTTTTGGAAATTTTTTTAAGGTCCTGTCTGGTTCTGCGACCTGTATGAAAAGATGAAAAGACAAATGACGAAAAGATTGTTTTAAATCATTTCAAATCAAAAATTTTCAAGCACATAAATTATGATACTACATGTGAAAATATTGTAATTCTGAATATTTAACATCTGCAAAAAATATATTGTAAATTATTGCAACCGCAAAAACTATTCGCATCAATTATTTTTTCAAACTATAATGATAGCAACAGCATGATGATTTCATGACAGCAAACATTTTTTGATTTTTTCGTTTTTTTTTTCGTTTTTTTTTTTCGTTTTTTTTTCTTCTTCAAAGCATGTTCTTACATTCAAAGCATATTTTCCTCATTATCATTTTCGGGTTCTGGTTTCGAGGGCTCTCCCGGTACTTCGTTTTCCTCTGAACTATTTTTGGATTCATTTTTGACTCCTCTCGTGAACATTTTCCCGTGCTTTCCGAAAGAGCTGAACGCTTTCGCGTGGTTTATTCTAGCTTTGCAAGCTCGTTCAATCGATTGGGCAATTCTACCCGCGCCCGAGTTACATGTTATTACGTAACATCGGTGTGCAATTTGCTCATCAGGATTAGCACAAATAAAGGCAAGTTTGTTAATGTCATTTCCAATCGCATAAAATGACAAATATCTCAATTTACATTCGATCACAATTTCTTGCGTTTCTTTTTGGTCATTCAAATTTTCGGAGGTTTCATTTGATGTTGTACGCATAGTAATATTCGCAGGCGTAATAATGAAGTAAATATTATGTAATATTTCCTCAAGTTGCGTAATAGCCGAGTTAGTTATGTCAAGTCCCTCGGCTTTGGTCGCTGTTACATAACCGTTGTACTGGACTTCGTAAACTTCTTTCATAGTTCGCTGGCGTTTCTGGATGGAATTTGCGCTTTGGCTAAATGTGGCACTTCTCAAAGGAACCTTTCCTGATTTTTCACCGGAATCCGAAATCTGGTTCAAACTCGACTGCGTGGCTGTGTTTCGAAGACTTTGTGACGTAGGCTTGTGGGACATTGTTCGATAAATATCATTGTTGTTGTTGTGGTTCGTTTCACGTCTTGGTAAGTTAGGTGTGGATTCGGCTACCATCCCACCGTGGGAGTCCAAATCCATATCTGGGAAACACAAATTTGGTATCTTGTTTTATTTATGTGCGCTTTTAACTAAATCTGTTGAATCAGTAGCGGAATCAAGGACGCGTATTCGTAAATTAAGTAACTTTTTTAGAAAAATCAGGATCAACATTTTTCATGTTGAATTATTTACAAATTTTCCATTAACATCGCCACTGAAAAATTGTAGCGGAAAAAAATCGATGAAAAATTATTTTGAAATTTATCAAAATTTTTTTGATCATGTATTGCTAAGGGTTACTGGCTTCGAATTGTAATCGCTAACCCAACTACACGTTAAAGTTCAACAATTTTTTTTTCAAAAAAAAAACTGACCCGAGTTCTTAGCAGCAGTTCTCTCTGGCATTGACCTTCTGTTCAGAGTTCCTTGATCAGTCACAGTTATACTGGGAACCTGTTGCCTTTTCATCAATCCACTGTGACCTTGACCTTGTGTCATTTGTCCTGTAGATGATTTGTGACCTTGACCTTGAGAGTGTGAGTGTAGACTGTGAACTGACACGCGTTGGTGAGTTCCTTGACCGTCGTGATTCTGACTGCTCCGAGGTGTGTTCGTAGCGCTGGTTCTCATCGCTTTCCGCGTGTTCATGCAGCATTTTTGCAGTGCCTCGGCGACGCCTGAAATTTTTATACTATCTTGCAAACTGTTACGCTTCTGTTTTTAATGCGACGTTTGAAAGCGTTTTTTTTTCTAAGCAGATTTCAAGTTTCGACTCAAAAAACCTGGACGTTCTTTTTTTTTAAAAATGTTTTGGCTTAATTTTGTTTTGAAACAATTTCTTCAACTTTAATTTAGTCGCAATTTGATGCAAAACACGTCAAAGTTCTGTAATTTTTCGTTATTTTAGTGATACAGTTTGGTTGATCTTTTCAACCATTTTCTCTCAGATTTATACAATTCTTGTGACTATTTTTGAAGGTCTGCTATTATTCTGAATTCATATACCATTTTCACTATCGTTTCGTGCATACCTTTGGCATCGCCGTCGCACTTGAAGAAATACACAGTGTAGCTATACTGCTGGGAGTCACTTCCTCTTCCCAATTTCCTCTCCCTTCCCCCATTTTCACCAACTGATACTTTCTTCACTGTTGTAGACACCGCGCCTTCGCTGTTGCCTCGAGGAGTCTCTTTGTCGTTGTCGCCGCTAGTCGAACTGACTTTACGGTCCCTGCAATAAAAAACATTTTTAACTGTGAAAACGAAAACATATTGGAGTTCAAGTAATTAAAATTTAACAATTGTAGCTCGGTTTTATTGTGTCAAAAGGTTGTTTCATTTTCCTAATTGAAAGGGGGGAGATTGTTAGTTAGATCCGATCTTTGTTGTAACGAATACTCCCGGAATGAACTAAGACCCAGTTACCATAAAATCAGGTACGTCAGATATGGTCCGATATATCGTATTGAATCTATTTCAGTAGTGATTCAAAACTTCTGAAAACTTTAAATCAATCTTTGAGGATAACTTTTTGATTTCTTGTTTTTTACTCTTTTTTTATACTCTTAAGAAGTATAAGAAAGAATATACCAATCTGATTTCACTTTACAATTTTAGACATGGTTTCCTTCTTCTTTTTCAACCTACTCTTTTTTTGTTTTCAGTCAAGCCATAGGATGTTTCCCTTATGTTAATGCTCTATAATTCCCTTAACGGAAGTAGAAGTCTCCTACCGCTAGTAGTACTAAAAAATCGACCCTTTTTGCCAATATTGCAGGATACACGCTGTCGACTACAAGCCGGAAGATATGAGACTGCTGGTTACTAGTGATTAAGTAAGCTCTAAACCCCCCCCCCCCCAACCCGCCTACCGCTCAGAGTTTTTTTAAACTGCTTTTGGAGTTTCTCTTGATTGCTTTTAAAACTAAATTGACCTGGATTGTGCGCCTTGGTTGCCTTTGAGAATTTTTTTTGATTGACAGGGATTTCTTTTGTTCTGATAGCCTGACTGGCTAAGTGTTACTTTGACCTGAAATTTATTTTTTTTTAAGCTTATTCTTTAGTTTCATTATTTTTTTTAGTTGCTTAGAAAGCTAAAAATACAGGTTTCTTTGAAGTTCCATTTTTTTTCTGTTGTTTAAAAGATTACATGGTTCTTTTCTAAATGAAACTGAACTTGAAGATCCGCTATTGGTTGCTACTTTTGTATTAATTATTTTTAGTTTGCTGAACAAAATGGCTTAGAAGTGACCAATATAGCTTTTTTGAGTATTTTGAAAGTTCCTTTCGATCATGGGTGGATCTAAATTTTTCTTGAGAGGGCGGATCTTCAAAAAACTTCGGCGCTCCCTTTGAAAATTATTATATATCGGCGCCAAAATCGCCTCAAAAAATTATGTTAGTTCGGCTTGAAATGGATGTCCTAAAAATACCAAAGGGGGGACCCTTAAGTTGGTGAGGTGGTCGAATCCCCCTAAATCGCCCCTATTTTCGATTGCTCCTAGAACTATCCTGACCTTGAATGTCCTCCGCCCTGGTTTCCATTATTTGGGTTTGAGGCGGACACCTTTCTGCTGGAAGGGGGGTTGTGGTGCTGGACTAGAGCGAGTAGTTTGTTCTTGGCCCCTCCGACACTCCACAGAGGCAGATTGTCCAGAGAGTGAGCAAACATGGTTTCTTTAGTCATCACATTGGTCACTATGAATGACTCGCCTGAAATCGGAAAAGATCTTCCTTGCTTTTTTGCTTGTATTTTTAACATGATTTTTTAATTGTTTGTTTATTTACATATTTGTTTTTCTTGTTGTTTATTTTTCTTGTTGTTTACTTGAGAAAATGAAATAAAATACGATTAAAAACCTTCTTTTGTGTTTGAAAGTTTTTGAGAAAAAAATAAATCGCTTTTAAAACAAAGATAGCCGGTTACTCAGCTCTATGCGCTTGCTTTATGCGCTCAAAATTGAAATAAAAATCAAAAATTTTAAGCCAGTTTTTCTCGATACTGAGAAAATTTGAGAGCCGAAGCGTAAACTTGAGGTGGTAATTTGAGGCGGGGAATTTGATTGGAGTTAATCATTGTTTCAGCTCACCCTCAATAGACAGGAACACATTCTGGTATGCCCTTAGATCCTTCGGTCCCTTCTCGAACTTCTTCATCAGAGTCTTAATCACAGTATTCCTCTTTGCGTCTCGCATCACTGAATTGGGAAGACTCTCTTTTCCCAGAAATCTAGCCCCGAAGCTCTCGTGTATTACTGCGTCATTAAACAGTTTGTCAACCATGTAGCATTGCCTAGAAAATCAGATGAAAGTCAGATCTTGTCCGATAAAAAATTCAATTCAAAAATTCTATTCAAAATTCAATTCAAAATTCAAAAATGATTTTTTTTGGTTTCAATATGCGCATAAAAATCAATGTTTTTCAATGTTTTTTTTCTTATGTAATATGCATCAAAATTAGTTCTAGTTATATTTAAAATTTTTCTTAATGTAAATTACACTAGAAAGATTTGATTGCGGAACTGAAGAAACATAAATTATCCAAGGACTTTCAAGATTTGATTTTGACGAGTTTTCATGAACTGGACTAAATCTTTCCTTGAAAGTCCTTGGATGTTGAAATTTTAAAATTAAAACCATCTTTTTTTCAACGATTTAACTGAAAAATGCCTTTTGCTTCTGACATTTGATTTTAATAGCTAAGTGCCAGTTTTTTAGTTAAATCATTGCAAAAAAAATGAAGCACTTAAATTCTTAAAAGCTTCCAAGGAGTTCTTAAAGGCTCTTAAATTTTTAAAAGTGCCCTAGAAATTCTGAAAGGCTCTTAAATTCTTAAAAGCTTTCAAGAAGTTCTTAGACGTTCTCAAATGTTTGAACTTACTTGAATGCGTTTTGAGTACAGCTTGAGGCTAACATTTGAGTAGGCTTACTGCACTTGGGACAAAATGTGTTCACGTCTTCGCTTCTGCTCATTTCGCTCACCGAGTTGAACACTTTAGGTCCTTGTGCATTACAATTGCAAACCATCTTCCGTCTAAATTTCATAATTCTCGTATGAAATTTACACATTGCTGGTTCTTTATCCATAGAATTTGACTCCATTGAAGACTTCGTTAGTTTGTATTTAGCCGAAGAAATCTTTCGAAGAAGTAACGAGGAATTATTTCTGGAAGGGGATTTTTCGGGAGAAGCGGTGTAAGATTTGGATAACTGGTCGTTTAAATCCATTGTTGTGGGTCGAGCTGGCGCCGATACTTTTCGGTTTTTGCTGCCGAGGGAAATTTTGCGTGTGTTGGTTAGTGCTCGGCCGAGCAGAGATAATTTTCTGGTAGGCTTCTAAAAAAAGTTGAGAAATTTTTGGATGATTTATGGTATTTCAAGCCTTTTATAGGGTTTTATTTGCAGTAAATCCTATTTTTATGATCTAGCAGAGCAGATATATTAAGCTTTCGATGTGAATTATATCAGAGGAATGGCTTTTTTGTTTTCGTAAATATTGATTCCTACTCAAAGATAATCATCACCTAATCAAGGTGATAACCAAAGATAATCATCACAAAAACATACAATTAGGAAATCGATAATGTGAAAAACATAAAAGCTAAATTTTCTTGCTAAGCTGGAATCATAAAGTTTTAACCTCGCTGTTTTCGAGTCTTTTCTGTTAGCGGTCAAAAATTACCAAAACGTTGAATCAGCAAATATGTTTGAAGTTAAGCTTCAGATTTCTTTCTGTATCAGCTACTTTCAACCGATAAATTTTTGTATCAGCGGTTTTTCAAGCACCGCACAACCGGAAAAGAGTCATTTTAACAATCCCCCTTATAGTATCTTCTATCTAATCTCCGCCCCTTCAAATTAAACAGTAAATTAGAACTAGAGCTTTCTATTACGATTTCTTATTTTGCTGCGTTCTGATTGGTCGAAGATTCGACAAGTTTAATCGACCTAACAATCTTTCCCATTTCTTGAACAAGTTGGGTTGTTAAGTAGATCCCAGAAAAGACCCATGTTTCCGAATGTACCATGTTCGTTTCTTAACAGAGGTTTTTTGCTATAAAGACGCAACTATTAAACTTGTAACTATCAAACATAAAGAATTTTAATTTTTTCCAAAAAATCCTCAGTTTGAATGCGGGTAATTTATAGAAGTGGGTTGTCTTTAGACTAGATAATAATCATTACCCTTGCGACTGGTAATGGTTTTGAAATCGGCTACCATTTTTTTCAATAAATTATTTTGTTCACAGGACTCATCTCCTGAAATGAAGCATCGTTCGTTTGACTCATTCTCTGTTGAAATTTTACCACAACAGACATATTTTGAGCATGTTAGCATTTTAAATAGCCGCCCATTCGAAATTTCCTTTTTATGTTTGCTGTGTTTTAGCATCTCGATTATCGGAATTTTCATTTTTCCGGCCTAATAGGTTACACCCTATAATAAATCGGCGCAGTGGCCTCATTTTGCGTCGTTCGAGGAGCGAAAAAAGTTTGTGTGCTTGTGTTTTTGAGGAACAGAGGAGCTTGAAAACTTAGTTTTTTTGTAAGTCTTGAAAAAATTTTGTCGGCTTAAAAGGTTTATGCTTGGTGTTTTCGGCCTGGTTACCGCTTCGTAAATTTTCTTTCGATTTTTGTTTCACATTCTATTGACTTGGTATGTTTTTTTTCAAAATTAGCTTCATTCATTTAGTTAGATAGATCTCTTTTTACCATATTTCTGTTTTGTATTTTATCGCAAGTGGTGCGAATCGCTGCTTCGCCTCTGTGTAATACATTGTTTACCAGCTTGCTAAGATAATAGTATTAATAACTTGACTACAGTTGGAAGATCGTCATTAGACATCTTAATCTGTTTTCAGACGTCTAGGCTCGCTGTAACGAAACAATAATAGTTTTTTTACTAACCTCTTGTTTTTGTTTTCCTGACGACGAATTTTGCAAATTCTGTTCATCAAAACAAACATCCTGGTGTGACTTTACACTACGAGAAGACAACTTCCTCAAGTTCACTTCTGATTTGGTCCCAGTGACTACTGATTCGCCCTTGCTTCTGCCGATTCCCAAGGTAGACAAATGAGAGGGTGAAGACTTCTCAGAATTCGGTAGTGTATTACTTGGAGGTACTGAAATAATAGTTAGATATGCAACTCATGAACTATTCGATTATTTATTCGCTGAAAACTTGAGAGTTCATTTACATTCCGGTTAATTAATTACATGCAGGTCTTAAAATAGTTAAAATAATAATTTTAAAAAAATCATTTGATTAAAAATTGTGGAAAACTGGCAAGATTGATTGCGTTTCGGGTAATTGATTACTTTCGGATCCTGAATTACAATAGTTAATGTTAACTTAGGATATATTTGATTTCATATCCACGAAAAAGATCAGTATTCGATTAAATTCCGGCTAAGTAAGTACTTGCAGGCATTCAAATCGTAATAATTATTGTTTTAAAAAATGTATTTGAATACGCATTTGGGGAAAACCGCAGGGGTTGATCGAATTTCGGATAATAAGCTACTTGTGGGCTTTGAAACAGTAAAGATAATTATAAATCATGAGCCATTTATTTGATTATAATGATTCACAAAAAACCAGAGGAATTGACTGCTTTTTGGGTCAGCAGCCCCTGAAATAAAAGTTTTAATGATAACATAAGAAGTATTTGATCGCATTCTGGATAATTAATTCTTTTCGTGCCCTAGACTGATAGTAATAATAAGAATTTTGTATATATTCTATGACAATTTCGCTGAAAATAGAAGGGATTGTTCTCATTCTTTGACTACTTTTGTATCAGTAATTTTTGGTAGATGTCCAAATTTGCCGAAATTTAGATGGATGGATTGCATTTCAGCTAATTGAATGCTCTTTGGTTATGACACAGCATAATTAATGATAATTTCATGAAATATTTGAGGGATCGATTGCAATCCGGTAAATTAGTCTTTTGCGAGTCTTGATATAAAATCATAATAATTTGAAGAATATTTAAATTCGAACTCGTGTATAATGAGGGGTTTTTCAAGTTTTTAGTATTTACCTACGTTCAGAAATGGTTGTAATTGTTGAATGTTATAATTAGTTGGATTATATATTTGTGGAAAATAACAAGAATCGATTAGTTTTTGGTTCGGGAAAATGGATTACTGGCTTCTGAAATGAAATTATTTATAACACCTAAAAATTTAATTATAAGTTTGAGAGCTTGATTCAATTTCAGATATTTACTGCTTTTTGACCCTACTAATCGTATTTAGTTTTTTAAATGGCTAAAAGTAGTTATGTTGATGACAGGCAGTAAAGTATTTGATTAAAAGTTTGCGGAAACCCTTGAGGCGTTGATTGCATTTTGGGTCATTAATCAATTGCCAGGTCTGAAGCAAAGATAGGCAGTTACTGTGCAAGGAGCACAGAATGTTCCGATGTTTCGACCATAGTCTTAAAAAAATACATTTTTTAAAAATTATTATTGCTTTTTCTGCTTGATGTGATAAAAGTGTCTGAACAAAAAACTAAAACATAGGTATATTCGACAGTCATTTTAAAAAAGGGAAATTGGGCAACAGTTTTTGAAGAAAATTGACTGAAAATTTAAAAAGAATTAAATTTCAAAAAAATTTTTGCAGAAATTTTTTGAATTCTTTGATTCCCAAAATGGCGTTAAAAAGCTCCATAAACAAGCTGTTCCCGAGTAAAACTAAAATTAAGCATAAATAAGTTCTCGTGAACGGCTTAAATTAAGCATAAGTAAGCATGCTCGCTCCGTATAATCGCTCGAAATTAGACGAAAAGTCAAACTTTTAAAAGTCAATATTTTCTCGACACTGGCTTTTCTCGACACTGGGATGTTGTTTTGGAAATGTTGTAATGTGTTTCGACCGAGTGGGCGCTAATATGATATATCAATCAACCCAGTCCGATGATCGTTTGTGGTACCTGATTTTGCTTGGAAAACAAAAAAACTAAAACACCCGAATACAAAGTTCCTCTGCCTTTTTTTTCAAATAGTCGGAACAATAATAGCAATAATTATAAATTATAAAACATTAAATCAAAACTTCTATCTGAAAATAACATCAAACAACCTCAAAACTATCAATCTGTTACAGCTGATGAATTTCTAAATTACGCTGAATGCAGGAATTTGAATTGTTTTGTTTGTATTCATGTAAAAAATTGCTTATCACTCAATTTTCATGTTTGATGAAAGTTTGGAAATCACTTTTCCATATACTCCGTGTGTCGAATTGTATGACAAGCAATTTTGTTACGACCGTTTTAAGGGGGAGGAACATTGTCTTCGGGTGTGTTTTTTTCTTTTTACATCCAAAAATCGGGCACGACAAATAATCATCGGATTGGGTCGAGTGATTTATCATATAAAAACCTTTTCAGCCGTGACTCGAACGGAATTTGAAAAAAGTTTCAACATTTTTTCGCGGGAAAAAGTGGTTTTAAAGTTTTTAATTTAACTCACAATCGAGGGAATATAGCGAGCAAGCATGCTTTTTATTTTGAAGCCGTGAAAATGTATCTGTACTCCAATAAATTCAATTTTTGAAGTTTCCTTTAGAGTCTTCTGGGGAATAAAAAGTTTTTCACAAGAAAAATTTTCCGCGTTTTTTTCTCTAGTTTTTGGAAAGAAACCTGTCAATCATGACTAATTCCTAATTTACTATAAGTATCGAATATTCCTAAGCTCTAGACTTTCGTTCATATGCCCTCATAACAACACGAACAAGAAACGAACCAATTTTAAAACAAAATATTTTTTCTTCTTTTTAATGATTTTGGGGGGAACTTTCTCTGCTTCTTGCACAGCATGCGGTTTTTCTTTTTCCTTGTTTGGAATTTTAGAACAAGCCTTTTCATTTTTTTATAGGTCAATCCGGGTTCTTAAGTATTACTTTAGCCGGCCTGGCATTCTATTTGAACTATACTATATATACTAATGAAAATTAACCTGACATACTAAAACTAAATAAAAGTGGATGATTAACTTGGCAAGAAAAAAGCCAGTGAGATTAAAGTGGGCGGGGAAATTTTTTCGTAGGTTGAAAATGTGTTGAAAAAGGAAAGGCGGTAACCTTTATGAAAACCTTTGAGAGAGTGCGATCAAAAAGTAAACATGTCTCAAAATAGACAAGTCGTAAGCCAATCACAATCGAGTCTCATAAAGAAGACTAGTCGAAAGCCAATCACAATCGAGATAACGAAACAAACGTGCGGAGTTTTTTCTTTTCTCTATTCTGATTGGCTCACGACGTGTGTCTACTTTTTAACCTGTCGACTTTTTCTACGGAAGCACCTTTTAGATCCCGATATGATACTTTTGTTTGTTCCTCAAAGTTAAAGCGAGTAAGTAGTATTAAAGAAAAACTTGATCAAACTAAACGAGATTATTAAAGATTCAGGGTTATCGTCAACTAAAAGAGCGTCGAGTTTTTGCTCTGAAAAAGTTCAAGGATCCAAAAAAGGAGGTCGGAAAACTCTTTGCCATTTTTGTTTGTTCCAAAATGGCTGTTAGTGATTAACACGACTTTTTTTGTTGTTCATAGAAATCAACAGAATCTAATTTACTGTCAAAAAGAAATTCAAATAAAGCATTCCTACCTGTTTGTTGGAACATTTTAGGTGATAAAGCAATTTTGGACTGCCTCTAATTCAAAAAGTCATCTAGTTTCTTAACTAATTTGCTAACTTCAACTGAATTCAACTAGCTTGCTTGCTCAATTTAAACAGAATCAACTAGAGCTTAGAGTATTTATCCTCTGTTTGGGGATCAATTTCGCTTTTTTTAAATAAAGAATCAAATTTGACCAAGTGGAAATAAATATTTTGTTGTTTAGTATAGATTTTTACAACCAACCGAAGCGCGGGTTAAAGTTGCAGAGAAATGAACGCAAATGAAATATTAATAATTCTCACAGGGAAGTAGAACCCAATTAGGTAACATTAAAATGTGCTTAGAGTCACAAAAATGTTTTTTTTTACATATTTATTTCATCTGCTTCTCGGTTAGAAACACACATTTTAGTCGAAAACTGCTAAAGCCGAATATCTAACATAATTCAAATGTAATTTATTGTGTAATAATAATCAAACAATAGACAATGCGCAATGTTTTAATCAATAAAACGTTTCCTTTTTTCATGTTTTTAACCATTATTTTGGTTCCTTTGTCAATTTTTTGTGTTTTTCTGAGCTTGAATCAATTTTTTCAAATATTTTTGAAGCTCTTTGTTTGCCTGAAACGCAGTTTGCTTTGATAAAAGAAAACTAGTCTTTCTCTTCTATTCTTTGTATTTACTGTTCTATTGGTGGCGTCAACTCGGCTTAATTTTTGTCTTTTTTTTTGCTTTGTTTTATAAAGTATATCAAGGGAAAAAAGTGGTGATGCTCATTTTACTAATGGGCAATTAAGAATGTAAGAGCCCTTAGTTATTCGCATCATTAGTTTTCCCCGCTAGCTAATGGAAAGAAAACCTAAACTAAATGTTAGTTTCGAAAATTAAACTTGTTTTTGATTTTTTGATTGAAGATTTCGAGTTTCGTTTTGATGTTTGAAGAACCATTGGTCAAGGAACCTTCATTATGAACTAAATAAATTATTTGAATTTTTTTGATATTGATTTTTTTTTCAAATTATCATCGACGATGTTAAATTAAATTCACAATCTGACAAGCATAGCCGACTGCTGTGTAAGTAATACAGAATGCTCCTACCATATTCATAAACGATGTAGAAAATAAAAGTTTTTGTTTTTCACTTTTCTTCAAATAAGTGTCTTTTTTAGTTGGTGGTCTGATTAAGAACTATACGTTTGTGTAGAGAAATTTTTGAATTGGGCATGATCGACATTACTTGTCTTCAAAAAAATGAATTGCAAACAAACAAGTGAAAAAAAAAGTTAAAAAATTTTCCAACTTTTTGCATATTAATTTCATTTTTTTTTAAGAATTTTTTTGCCAAATGAGTGCTAAATAAAACATCTAAAACTAATTTGCTTTATAGTTATATCAATTAAAGTTGGTTAAAATTTTTTAAAGGCCTAAAAAAGTAAATTTCCATGCAATGCGCGTTACTCGATCGCGTTACTCGATCGCGTTACTCGA